TCACTTTGGACCATTGCTGATGTGACCCCAACCCATACGTTCCTTACACCAACGTCATCCTTCTCGACTCTAACGTGGTTTGAAGAAGGATGCGTAAAACCGTGCATGCAAACCAACGTGATTTTGCCGCCGTGAAATGCTTCTGGCAGAAACCCGCATATCGGTAGCGGTTGCAAGGTGCATACACACCTACATAGGTAGTACATATTCTTGAGGTGTAATGCTCGTACAACGACTATCGACATGCTATCACATAGCATTTCCATCCAGTTTTTTTAATTTCTAGACAACATTTGCTCTAGACAATATTTTGCTTTGGCTATATTGATGCAAAATTGAAAAGCACTCTTTTTTGCGGATATAATAGTGTGAGCTGATGAAAAGATTATACCTTTTATTTTCCGGATTTTTTTAAAAATTTTTGTCCTTTTTTTTCGGATTGATTTTTTCCCCCGGTTTCTCGTTATTTTTATTATTATTTTCTTTTATTATTTCCCTTTCTTTCATTGTTCTGTAATTTTTCCTGAAAAAAAGAGTGCTTTCTAATATTGCAAATATAATCGTATATATAATATTGCAGATATAATCGTATGAGCTAATAAAAAGATTATGTCTTTTATTTTCCGGATTTCTTAAAATTTTTTGTCCATTTTTTCCCCCGGTCTTTTGTTATTTTTATTTTTATTATTATTTTACTTTTTTCCCCTTTTTTCATTGTTCTGTAATTTTTTCCGGATCTTTTATTTTCCGGATTTTTTAAAATTTTTTGTCCGATTTTTTCCCGGTTTCTTGTTATTTTGATTATTATTATTATTTTTCTTTTCCCCTTTTTTTATTGTTCTGTAATTTTTTCCTTGTTTTCCCTACATTTTGAACTATATATATATACATATATACTAGCTTACCCGGCAAACGTTGTTTTGCCATATGAATTATTTCTAGAGTATGAAAATATATCTTACTAGTGGGCTGTGACCCCTGCTGCTCGCTAACGCTCGCCAACCCCCGAAAATTGCTACGCAATCTTATATGGTTTGCTTCGCAAACCAAGCTCGCTTCGCTCGCTACTAACTTAGGTACATTGCAAATGCACAAAATTTTAAGAATTCAAAACAATCATTCAAATCCATATAACAACTTTTTTTNTATATATACACACAGAGAAAGGAGATACATAAATAGATAGGTAGATGGATAGATAAAATTGAATTGGAAAATAATAAAGAAAACACGTTTGAGGGCTCAGAACCAAAAGTCACGAATAATACAGCTCTGTTGATTATGATATTATTTGTTTAATTGAAACTTGGCGAACATATTAAGGATTAGGAATTATTTGATCACATGTAAAATGTGCTTTTAAAGAATCGTGAATCTAAACGTCGTGTTGGAGTTCTTATTACGGGTAACGAAGTATTGACCGGCTAATAAATTTTCTTTACTCCATCTCAATTCGGAATGTATTTTTTATTTCTATTATATTCAAATTTAAGAGGAACTTGCTTTTCTGTGTCTCGTATTTTCCTTCTCTTGTAAGTACTTTTAATTTTTCTGCTTATTCTGAAAAGTTTGCTTATTTAGATATTTTCATGTGTTACCTTCACTTCTCTCAATAACGATCTCTTAAACATAATCGGTACTTATTCATCTTGAATCCATACAATTTGAATCAAATGAATAGTGTTTTATATTTTAATAACAAGTATTTTTTATCTAATTTTAACAGACATTAGTGTCAGAAGTGTTTTAATGAACCGTTTAGAGATCTCCTGAAGATTTACTTCATTGACATTGGTCAAAGTGGACTGAACCAAAAAAAAGAAAGAAAAAAGATGATGTGATCAGGCTTAGATATGATATAAAAAAACTGATTTCTTCAACCTTAAATAAAATAAGTGGATTCTGGTAAATTTCCAAGTTATAAATATAACTTTTTCGAGTTTTTATTACATACGTTTCCATTGTGCGATAAAGAATGCTGAACATAACAATTAGTTTAAATTTTAGTCTTCACTTAATGCTAAAACACATGTTATAGCAAATGTTGAAAAATAAAATTTCAGGATTCAATTAAATATTGCGGATTTAAAGCGTTAAGATCAGGCAAATTAATATTCATGGAACACTATTTAATTTTATTAAACCACTATTTAAATTTGATTACTATTAATTAAATATTGTTCAAATTATATTTTTAATGGAATTTGTTTGAATTGATTACAACTACACACTTTCCCCATAAACACTGGGAGTTGGGAAATTTGCATGTAATGAGTGAAATTTGATACTAGTTGACTAGATACTAGAATCAAGTGTCACTCAAGAGTTTGGGAATTTCTATGCAATGAGTGACACTTATTAATGCTAGAACCTCAGAAAAAAGCTCTGGGGGGGGGGAAACTCTAGAAATAAAAGCAAAGGAAAAAGAGCATTAGAAAAAAATATCTGGAGATTAGCAGTACTTAACAATTGATGGATGAGCAGTAACAATTTCATGAATTGAATAACCGATTTGATTCAGGCTGTTAAACATGAATTTAGGTAACTAAATAGTTCTTCGAATATAAAGACATACTTTTTGAAAACTGATTGATATACAAAGTTTAATTTGAAGCCTGCTGAAACGAAATTTTAATGCATGCTCTGATTTTTCTTAATTATAAGTAATTATTAAAGGTGTGTTTATTTGAAGAAAATACTTTTCTGCGTCTGATTTTGTAACTTAAAATACCATCTGCACAAATTAATTAGCATTAGATCTTAAATTTATTCAGAATAAGCGTTCGTTTATTTATTTATTGCTTTGCGTACTGGAATTGGATTCTTTTTATATGTCGTAATACTATATACAGCACAATAAAGACAAAAAAGATAATAAGGAAAGAGAAAAAGCGAAGAAAATTAAGAAAAATAAAAAGTTTTATTTATTGTGCATAAGCTGCAAGTATAAAGAACTCATAAAATAAGTTAAAAACATTAAAAAAAAGCATGGGAAATAATATAATGAAGATTAATAAAAATAGAAGAAGAAAAATTAGTTAAATATAATATTTTTTGAAACATTCAATAAAAATATTAAAAAACCGGAAAACAAAATAATGAAAAGATATGATCTCGTCATTATCTCACACGATTGTATCGACAAAGAAGAGTGTTTTCTAATATTTTATTAATATATAGCCCATAAATGTCTAATATATAGCCAATCAAAATATATCGACAGAATAGTGTGAGGAGCACACAAAATAATTGAAACGAAGCTAGAACATTTTACGAAATAAGACAAATCAAGCAAAAAAAATAAAATGTAAGAAAATTACAGAACGAAATATAAAGTGTAATCTATAAATCGAGTAGAGGATTCAAATGAATTTACACTTATATATAATATTTTTTTAAATATATTTATGTATATATTTAAGAAAAAAAAAGGATGACATTTTATTTAAAAAAACCGGAAAAAAAGATATAATCTTTTTATCAGCCCACACGATTATATCCGCAAAACAGAAAGCACTCTGCTTTGCGGATATGATCGTGTGGGCTGATGAAAAGATTATATCTTTTTCCCCCGGTTTTTTTAAATAAAATGTCATCCTTTTTTTTCTTCTTTTTTTTTTAAACTGTTGTTTGTCATGTTTTTACTTATTATTTCCCCCCCCCCTTTTTTTTTTCTTCCTGTGTCTATAATTTTTCTTTGTTTTATCTTCATTTTGAACTTATCTAATGAGTTCTGCTTACTTGCTGCTTAAGCGCAATAAATGAAACTTACTGTTTTTCTTAACAGTAAGTTTCGAATATATAT